ATTATTGTGCCCTGCTACTTAAAGCTAAGAAGGCTATTGATATACACAGTAAAGAATAAGTGTCCCTTGTGGTCACAGTCACAGTTTTTTCTGAACTTATGGAATCATTTATTTGAACATATTGCTTTCTATAAGACAGGTAACTTCTCATAAGGTTTTGAGCGTTTCCTCTAATTTCTGCAGCGTATAAAGCTTATAATATTCTTGTCTTGAGTGGATTTATTCTTTTGAAATCCAAATTGATTTTCATGTATAAGCTTATTTTTATTGAAAAAACTAATGAGCCTAACCTTTATGATTTTTTCAACTATCTTTGCCAAGTTAGATATTAATGTTATTGGTCTTTAGTTGCTGGTATTAGATATGTCGCCAGATTTATGAATTGGTGTAATTATTCCTATTTTGTAAGGTCTGGGAAAACCCCAGATTCAATTATCAAATTTGTTGAAAATGCTAGTGGTTTTCTAATTTCAGGTGCCATTTTTTTGAGTATTTCTGACCGTATGCCATCTAAACCTGGACTCTTTTTCATTCTTTAGGCTATAAATAGTATATTCTATCTCATTTTGTGTAACTGGTTCAAGAAAGATTGAATTTTTTATGATTACTCTAGATGGACTATTAGTGTTAGGTTTATTTATTTTAGTTGCCAGTTGCTCTCCCACTTGAACAAAATAGTTATTGAAAACGTTAGGAATATCTGTATCTGCAGTTATTACAGTATTAGTAGTTTTGATTTGTTCAATACTTGTTATTGGCTTGTTTGAGTTTTCAGATTTGGTTGAAGGTATTCCATACCGTTTTAGAATCGGATTAACTTTTTTCTAGTATCTCCGTATAACATTTTTGTTTTGTAGTAGTTATTAAATTAGAAAGTTTATTTTTGTAGTTTAAATTATCTTGTTTTGCTTCTTCCGTGTATAATCTGTACCTTTCACTTTTTCTATTTATTGATGTGATGAGCCCAGCAGTTACCCAATTTTTTCTAGGAATTTCGTTATGTTTTATCTTAACTTTGTTAGTATTCTTTGAGATATATTTTTTAATAATGTTGGTGAGATGTTTAGATGCTTCATGTACATCACTTGATCTATATATGTCATCCCAGGGCTCAGTATCGAGATCTACTCTCAGTTTTGCGTAATTTATATATTCTATGGACCTATTATTGTATTTGTTAGGTTGGCTATTAACAAAACTTTCTTAATTAAGGGGTAGTGTTAGTATGGTATCATAATGATCGGTTATACTTGATTTTACTACTTTTAACAAAAAATTGGTCAATGCAGGTATTGGATTCTCTAAGGACTCTAGTTGGAGCGTTTACAAGCGAAATAAGATTTATTTCAGAAAGCATATTTAGGTACTCATGTCTCATGTACAGATAAGTTGTTCTCATCTAAAATGTTTATATTAAGGTCACCATTTAAGTCACAATAATCCGTATTAGGAGTGCAATCATTCAAATAGTTTCTAAGATCAATTATAATCTGTTTTTCATTACTGGAAGGTGGTCTGTATGTTGATATTATTGTGATAACAATTCCAAGTATATTTACCTTCGTCATTATCCCCGTACATTCACTGAATTTTCATCTGAAACATTATACTCCAGAGCACTGTCCAGGACCGCCGTTTCAAAAGGTGTATAGTTTATATCTCTAATATACTGATTCATTATATAAATAAAAAGTTTTTTGTTTAAAATGTAAAAGGTAAAAATAAAAATTTCAAAATGTTATTTGTGAAAAATGTTGGTCTTGAAAATATTTGTAAGTGGGGCAATGTTTGTCTGTAGCCGAGTGGTTTACATCATTAGTCTTCTTATACTTACTGTTACAATTTATTCAATTGATACATTTAGAAAACTTCAATTTACAAGTCACAGTGTCATATTCATCTCCAAATTTTGCGCAGGTTGAAACGCCTCTAAATTTTCTTGCTGTATGTCCGAATTTTAGAAATCTTCTGCATTGTGCCATTTCATTATCATCGTAGAGGGGCAAGCTCTACCACCCAAGTAATATTTTCGCATCCTTCTTTTCAAATATGTCTCTGTAGATTTCGCCGGATACTTCCCCAAAAATTGTGAAACTATTGCGATCTTTCATATGTTTTATATATGTAATCCAATATCGTTTTTGGCAGTGAAGTAATTTTGTTCTATCATTTCTTGTTTAACTTCATTTTCCGTGGTCTTTTCATTGCTTCTGTATATATTATTTTGATTCTAGGCTTTACTAGTTTCGGTCCAGAAATGATGTATTTTTAAAATTTTTTTCTAACTCGTTTATTTAATTTTTTGTAATAGTCTTCCATCACTTTAATTTCAAATCCTCCATTTCTAGAATTTTTAACATTTTCTACCTTTACATCAATATCTGATAAATTAATATTCTCACAAAGGTATTTTCTTGTGTCGTTACAGTCTTGTGATGATCCAGGTGTAACGGTATTGCTTTTAGTTTGCATGTTGTGACTCAAATTGGGAATATTTCTTTTCAGAATTTGTGAGTAGTTTTTACTGTCATAAGATCTTTTTCCTACTATTTCAAGTTGGGTTGCTAGTTTTTCTAACGTTGATATCATCGAGTCTTTTTCTGCAATTTTTGAGGTAACTAATTCATATTGGTCTATAAGCATTTTATTTTCATTTATTAATTGGTGTATTAGTTTTTCTTTTTCTTCTAATAGCTGTTTCAGAAAAGTATTTGCCTTTTTCACAGCATCTATACTATTACTATCAATTTGACTTCGCTTCAGAATTTGTGAGTAGTTTTTACTGTCATAAGATCTTTTTCCTGCTATTTCAAGTTGGGTTGCTAGTTTTTCTAACGTTGATATCATCGAGTCTTTTTCTGCAATTTTTGAGGTAACTAATTCATATTGGTCTATAAGCCTTTTATTTTCATTTATTAATTGGTGTATTAGTTCTTCTTTTTCTTCTAATAGCTGTTTCAGAAAAGTATTTGCCTTTTTCACAGCATCTATACTATTACTATCAATTTGACTCGGTGTTATTGGGCTACTGGGAGCTATAATTTCTTCATTTGTATCATATTTCTTTTTCCTAGTCATCCTTCATTTAAGATCACCCTTTATATTACTTTCAACGAAGCTTTCAAATTTGACGTATGTGGAACTGGGATAATTTTGGCTATTATGGCGGTAAATGATATACATATTATAATATTCGAACTGTCTCACCAACAAGTGCTGCGTCAGGTTTTAAGCTCAATAAATAGTTATTGAGTTGCCAGGGACACTCGCCAGAATTTTCTTAAATCGAAACACGGTCGAATTTGAATAGCTGTGATGCTATTTCGTGTGAGCAATCAGTATAGTAATTTGAAGATTTGAAAATTTTGAAAAAAAATGGAAATTTTGTAAAATTTTTGAAATTTCAAAGTTGCAAAGAATATATATCATCACTTTTGTTGTCGTTTTGAGACTCACAATTTAGAAAATAATTATATTTTGAGGGACTAAAAAAACACGCTTTAATTCCAAATCGATCTTTAAAGTAGAAAATAACTTCCAAGTATAGGAGAGTTTGTATTACTGCAATAGAAACTCCAACAATCAAATATGACTAATTAATTCTGAATAAGATCAATATGCCAAGTAAAATATAAGCAAATTATAGTAAAAAACGTGGTTGCAATTATATTTTCATAGCAATTTCAATTTTGTAAATACCAACCTAAAAAATTATCCTAACCTCTAATATCAAGAACCCCACCCACTTTACCATGATTGAATTTTTTGTTAATATCAAAATTTTTATATTGATCTTGTTTCAAGTTAATCGATTTTTGGACTTTCTGTTGCAGTAACAAAAACTCTCCTGAAAGTTATGTTTTACTTTTTAGTTCGATAAACGTGTTTCTTTAGTTTTTTAAACCATAATTTATTATTCACCGGTTCCTACCAATTTGCTTACATGACGACTTTGTAATGCAAAAAATCAGATTCGATAAAATTATTATTGTGCGATATGAAACATTGGGAAATAATATGAAGGAGTTATATAGTTTTGCATTGCTCCAATATCGAAAACATTGATGCGCTTAATCTTTACTATTTATTCATTTTTTTAAACAAAACTATACCAAAGTAACAAAAATGATGGGATTTGCAAACTATATACAATGCAGATGATTGCTTACGACAGTATGTGGCTTGTAGACCGAAAAATGAACGAAAATGAGTTTCATGGATTTTTGTGATATTGGAAAATAGAAAAAAAGGATATGTTGAAAGTTTCGAGATCATATTTCTCAACAAATGCTGGAAAAATTACGTGTTACCTTATTGAGAATAAATACGATGCAATCGGCTTGACAATAAAAAAATGGTTTGTGTGGAAACTATTAATGCTGCACTAATGTTGCACATAAGTTGTTAAACATCATGGAGTATACGTTTGATGAATTCTGATATGCATTTAATGTACGGACTGACAAAAAGTAATGCTTTGAAAACAAATATCTCGAAAAGTGTTAGCTTTAGACACTTCTGACAAGTAAACCTTTTTTGTTGAAGAAAAACGAGAAAATAAGATTTTTCGGTCAGTTGTATACAGGGTAGCACAAAAGAGTTATGATAAGTTACCGAAATAGTACTGTAAGTGGCGTCCTCTAGAAGTTTGGCCATAAAAAATAACGGATTCTTATTTCTCATACTAAAAAAACCTCTCTAATCCCAGTTTTATGCCAAAATCTGAAATACTTCTCAAGCAATAAGGAAAAATAGTAAATAAAATTGTAACTTTGACACTCTGTATCTCGCAAACTATCAACTTTAGGTCAATTCGCATATTTTGGTCTGTAGTATCTGCAGTTTCGAGATTTCCCAACCTTTCCAAGACACCCTGTAGATTGCAAACTGAAAGCTTATAGTATACTTTCTAAGGTTAAACCATTTATACTTATTTTGCATTTGATTGTGAATGTTTGTCAAAATATTCCGTTCGTCAATAAAAAAATTCAAGTGAATACTTAAGATAGCCATTGATATATAAAAGTATTACAAACGATAAATGCTTGACATCAGATTGCTAAAGCAGTTCACAATGAATATGTCCAGAGCCTTGTTCATTTTTGCGAATTTGTTTTTACTAGCACATTCGTTACCCACGTTATACGAATACTACACCAAAGATGGAATTCAGGCCGGTCTGTCAGATGCAAAGCCGTACTTTACACTTAACAACAAAAATATCACGATATACAGTGGCAGCTTCCACTACTTTAGAACCCCCCGAGCATATTGGAGGGACAGATTGAGAAAAATGAGAGCAGCTGGATTGAATACCGTTACAACTTATGTGCCATGGAATCTGCATGAGCCCCAAACAGGTAGGTGAAAACGGCTAGATGAATTTTGACATATGAGGTGTTGTTAAATGCGTTTTACTAGTGCGAGTGACACGGGTCATATTAAAATTTTATGAGATCAAAAAGACGGATTTTGATCGAAACGAATCGATGAGTTTCATGATCAATCCAATTTAATTCTGTTCAATGGACTTTATTATTGTAACAAACACATAAGAAAAGTACTGTGATAAATAGCGAAGTCTCCAATTCCCATTCATACTTAACCATGTCATACAACTTATTACTACCTTAACCTTCAAGAGCAGAGGGCCTAGGTATCAGTCCCTCTGCCAGATCAGGAAAACATATGATAAGGTAAAACAGGCGAAAACAATAAGTGTTTAAGACACGATTCTTATATGATTTTTGGAAACGTTCCTAATACAGTTCTCGTCGAAGCAAATAATCTGACTAGATTGTATGTGAAAGAGCATTGAAATATGGCTGTTGTATGTTGCGACACCGTGGGGAGATGGTTGGTTAATTGTAAGGTCTGTTCAAATTGTGAATTAAATGGCTGTAAACAATATTTTGCATAAGATGGAGAGGGAACAGCTTCTAATATTTTGACGGCAAATGTCTCAAAGTTGTATTTGAATATATCGGATGTTTTAACCAAGTCATAAAAGCTATTGAGTGAGAATGTAAGCAGCAAGAATTCGACTGCTCAATTTGTGTAGGCTGCGCAGTGATAATCATCACTCATAGCATCACGGTGACAAAAAAATCAACATTCCACTACGCCAATGTGATTGCCGCTCGACACCCGCACGGGTATTACGTATCTTGAAAAGTGACATTGTCGATTTTTTTAAACATTATATTGGTTTTTTATGGCATTATGTAGCTTTTTCTACAAGATGTTAACTTAGCACCACGTTGGCTTGACTTGCAAAATGACTAACTCCATTTGCCAACTTTTTTCAGGAAACACAAAAACCGATTTAAATATATTATTACTACTTGTTGCTATTAACTGTGTTTTTATGACGTATGAAGTTCTCAGTGAAAGTGATCGGATTTATTAATTTTGGGCAGGTATTTCATATGAGGATATTTTTTTTCCAAAAAAATTGAGTTAGCCTTTTTTCCTATTGTAAGGATTATGGAGCTGCGCAGTTTGTCTAAGGAATCAGGAATGGAACTAACTTAGTATAGTCGTTGAAAAATACGTTGTTTATTGGTGGAGGATGTTATATACAGGGTGACTAATAAATCAAATTATTATTATTATATAAACTTTTCTCTGTGTCGCCAACCTTCAGTGTGGCGAAGTTAGATCTTTTGAGTACTTTATTGCTTTTAAATCATTCACTGTAGGAGCGCCTGCCATCTTTCCAGGTCTTATAGATTTGACAAACTTCATTTTATCGTATTGCTTGAAAAAGCTGTGAATTAGGTATTCCATATTTCATGATGTTTTATGGCAAGCAGTTCTACAGATATACTAAGTGACATATAAATTCGAACACCCAGTTTAAATGGTTTTATTTTAATAAAAGTTGGTGAATGTATTTATCTTACTGTAAATAACAAGTAAAAAAAATTTCAGCCTTATCAGTTGGACATTCCGGTTTTTATACTGCTTTATTAATTCACTAACGCTCTAAAAATGGATATTTCAGCCGCCGTAAAGAATCAACGTTGGCGGATTTTGGTTCTTGACATCCTTTACGATCGGCTACTATGCCTAGAGTACGGAGACCTGTACGATTTCGTCAACTTAGTGAGTTTGATAGGGGCCGTATAGTGGGACCTTCTTTTCGGGCAATTGCAGTTAGAGTGCAAAGAAGTGTAGACACTGTGGTTAGGTGTTGTCAGGCATGGCTTCGAGAAGGCCGTACGCAAAGAGCAAGGGGCACTAGACGCCGCCGTAGAACAACAGACCGTGAAGATCGCCGCATAAGATTATTGGCCTTAAGGGACAGTTTCTCCACTACCAGGTCCATGAATGGTTTGCAGAACACGGAAGACCTTTTGGCAAGCGAAGTGTTTACCGACGAATGAGAAGTTTTGGCTTGTTTTCATACCGGCCACACTGGGTCCTCCCTTTAACTCGAGAACACCGACGTAATCGCCTTGAGTGGTGCAGACAACGGTCACTCTGGGATCAGGAATGGAACAGTATTGTCTTTAGTGACGAGTCTAGGTTTTGTTTAGGCATGCACGATGGTCGTGCCAGGGTTAGAAGGCGACGTGGTGAAAGGAGGAATCCACACTTTTTGTTGAAAGACATGTTCATCACACTGTTGGAGTTATGGTTTGGGGTGCTATAGCTTATGGTTCCAGGTCACCTTTAATCTTCATCAGAGGTAACATGAACGCGCAGCGTTATATCCACGAAGTTCTAGAACCCCATCTTTTACCCTATCTTGACACCCTGGCAGATCCAACTTTCCAACAAGATAATGCCCGACCACATGTTGCAAGGGTCACAATAGACTTCTTTCAACATAATTATGTCACATTGTTACCATGGCCACCAAGATCTCCCGACTTATCCCCAATTGAGCACGTGTGGGATATGATGGGTAGGAGATTGCTCAATTTGCAACGTCCTCCTCAGACTCTAGAAGCACTTCGAGAGGAGTTGGTGGTTGCCTGGAATCAGATACCACAGGAGGACATTGACCACCTGATCAGACGCATGCCTAGGCGCGTTGGAGAATGCGTAGCACATCAGGGTGCATCCACACATTATTAAAGGTCAAAGGGCTTTAAAGCAGTGCAATCATTTTGAAATTTTTATCATTTACTTATTATGCTTCATTAAGTACTTATACAAAATTTTATTAAAATAAAACCATTTAAACTGGGTGTTCGGATTTATATGTCACTTAGTATATATGCATAGCCTGCAGGAATGTTAATTTTTCTATTTCGGATTTTCCTTTCTATTTACGGAATGCATACTGTCAACCTCCATTTGAGTGTGGCCTTTTTGTAGATACTTTTGTACCATAGTTGTTCCAGTATGAAGAGAAAAATATAGTAAGCCGTTGGATAAAGTCGTATTTCTGTTTTGATAATTGCAGCAGTCACTCCATAGTTTAATTACAATGTCATGTTTGTTCCTGCCGGATGAAACAAGTGTCTCAATATGGCCCTTCAAGAAATGAATAAAAATGCTGGTAAACTCATTACTTGTTAGTCCTCCCTCAGACTAATTACACAAATGACAGTACCCTTGTTGTTCTTTAATATCATAAACTGTAAAGTTATGGACAATTAATTTTGTTTTATAATACAGAGAATAGACGTTTGATTGCGGTGAGAGTAAAACTGATTGGAGGTCCATGGTACAACACGACACGCTTCCACTCTTTGTCTTTCTGCTTTTCATCTCTCGCCTCATTTTTAAGTTTAATACACATGCTCATTGTATACGTTTTCCGCCAAATTTCCTGCTTCAAATGCCACACATATCGCAGAGGTCCTTTTTTGGTCTATACAATGAAAGTCGAGCCTTTTCGTATTTCTTGTGGAAGGTCGTTTCAGATACTGGGTTTTGTAGACTTTATACAATTGGCTCTTGGTTGTCCAAATTGACTCCAAATACAATTTAGAAATAGCAGCTCTAAAACAATGCGACTCCATCTTTGGTAGCGTGTCGAAAAAGCCATGAAGATGTTCTAAATGTTTCCTTGGTCCTGGTTTTTGTTGGCCTACAACCACAGTTTCTTATAATCTTGCTTTAGCCCAACTCTTTATTACCCATTCTTACCAAAGAATGGGTAATAAAGAGTTATTTAGGAACATAGTTTTGCAGACCCTTAGTTTAGAAGATTAGAATACGAGGGATGTCTTTTAAGTTTTGCATATAGAAACATCTTAGGCCGCGCGGATAGTACGTCAGCACTGAATCTTAACGTCACTCTTTAGTAAACTTAAATTCAAAGTTTCACAACAATACGTGCAGAGTTCTCACTACAGTGAATTTTTAAGTGTCATTAGTCATTAGAAAAATGAAACTCAACCGAGAACATTTTCGCGCCATAATTTATTACAACTTTCAGAGACAATTATCGCAACAAGAATGCCTTGCTGATTTACTGTCTGTTTTCGGCAACTAAGCGCCACATCAGTCGACAATTTTCCGTTGGTATGGAGAATTCAAACGTGGACGGGTGAGTCTTAGCGACCATCCCAAGGTGAGTGCACCAAAATCGGCAGTCACCCAGGAAAACGTCGATGCTGTACGCAAACTCATCATGGAAGATAGACATGTGACATATCGCGAGATTGAGGCGTCCTTGAAGATCTCAAAGACCTGAATTCAAAAAAATTTACATGAAGAATTAGGAGTAAGAAAATTAGTTTCTCGTTGGATACCCCACCTGTTGACTGAAGAGCAGAAAGCAGCCAGGGTTAATTGGTGTCAAAAGCGCTTGACCGTTTCAATTCCGGAATGTGTACAGCATTGTTAGTGATGATGAATCGTGGATTTTCTGTTATCAACCAGAAAATAAGCGACAGTCGGCTGTTTGGGTGTTCCAAGGTGAAGAAAAGCCAACAAAAGTCATCCGTTGTCGAACCGTTTCGAAAAAGATGGTCGCGACATTTATGTCAAAAGCGAGTAATATTGCAACAATTCCTCTTAATGAGCAAAGAACTGTTACTGCGGATTGGTATACCACCATTTGTTTGCCAAAAGTCATCACCGAGATTCGAAAAATCAACCCCGAAAGAAGAATCATCGTCCACCAAGACAATGCAAGCCCGCACACAGCAAAACAAACAAGGCAGTATTTAATGGAAGAAAACGTGGAATTATTTTACCATCCTCCATATAGTCCTAACGATTTCTTTACTTTCCCGAAAATTAAAAACAGACTGGGTGGTCAAAGGTTCCAGTCACCAGAAGAAGCAGTTGACGCATTCAAAAATGCCGTTTTGGATCTGCCAGCAAACGAGAGGAATAAGTGCTTCGAAAAATTGGTTCAAGCGCATGCAGATGTGTATTAATCTTCATGGAGAATACTTCTAAAAACAATAAAGTCATTTAAAACTACCTACCGTGTTGTTTTATTTCCATATGCAAAACTTAAAAGACATCCCTCGTACACTCGACTTGATACATCTTTTCTAGCCGTTCTCTCTATGAAAACGTGACTGTACACAAAGAGTCGTTTTTCATCCCATGTATATTGCCAAAACTCTTGGAAGATTTCTTTCCTTTCATCTTCACTTAGGGTTCGACATTGTAAGACTGACTTATTATTTTGACTTAACTTGCACTTGCATCTTTCTTTCAAAGACCTCGGTTCTTTCAGCAAATTATATCGCCATTTTCCATTTTCCTTCTTCTTTCCTGTATACGGTCTACGTTTCTCTCTGTCTGATCTGATTCTGTTTGCTTGCCAGGTTTTCCTGTCAACGTCGTATTTTAAGGAGCGTTCTTTTTTTTAGGGTGTCGCTCATTTCACTATTTTGTGCGGTTGAAGAGTGTCCTGAGCATTCATCGGGTTGACGATTGTCTTTTGGAGATATGTTTATTTTTCCATTGAGCAAACTCATCTCTTGCGATTGAACTTCACCGTTCTTTTCTTGAGAAACCTTCAAACAAGAGTTCTGTCAAGAATTCCACTGCACTCCTCTATTTCTATTCCCAAGTCATTTGTAGAATCGGATATTGCACATTCCCAAGTAGAGATAGATATCGACCCTAAAAGAAGTACACATTAAAACAGAAATGAGCTTCTAGATTTATCATACCATCGGTGCTGCTGCACAATGGATTCACAGGAAGTACATGCTCATCGGTGTCCTTAACCATGCCATTGGTTTGAGCTTTACTAGACGGTGTCTTATTGAAGGCACTACTGATCTGTCCCATCAAATATCTTTTAAAACAAGCGAACAGTTTCGAATAAGAATAGTTTTGTGACAGACTTAAATACAAAGTTGAATTATGAATTTATTTAACTCAAATCAACTTAATTTTATGCCAGACAATTACGAACAGAGGACAAACTTAATTTTCGCTACGTCAGTAATATATATAGATAAATAACATGAATTAGTGGGCCCACTGAAGGCAAAACTTTGTATTACGTTTTGACATACCGTGTATATATTTAGATAGGTAAATCTGAATTTGAGAGGTGCCACTTTCAAAATGTTTATTTGTTCGATATCCCAAACTAGTTTCCTTGGTTTTCCAGAAACACTAGTTGTGCATTTTCAATTGCTTTAGCCATATCAACTTTATTTTCATCGCTCTCAGTAGATCTCGACAGTTGCCTTGATGTTAAATCTTCAACTATGTCGACTCTAATATTGCTAATAATGTCCGTACATTTCAAGGCTTCAAATATTTTATTCATATGCCGTGACATCTTGTGTTAAGAGAATTGAAGATTTGATCAGTAATAATGACTTAATGGGAGCACAATTTTTTGCTATCAACTGAATAAGCTCGTAATAATAAGTGTAAAGTGTGTATACTAGGACGCTTTTTCAATCGTGCACACCTCGATGAGCTGTAATAAAATGTGACAAAAATGTTTTCCATGGAAGGACCCGAGTCTAACAAAATGCGTATGTCCTACAACCTTACAAATCTTGTCTCAGACAAAAACATAGCGCAAGAAAACTGCGTAACTTCTGTACCTTCGAAAACTTGTTTTGCTAACAATATACCGATATAAACTGTCCAATTAAAATATTACGTTTATCACATAAGCTACCTACTTAAATTTATTCAATAGACTTACTAAAATAACCGAAAACCGTTTGATCAACCGACAGAGCACGTGTTACCCTTATAACCACAATGGACCTAATCGAGATCAGCGTTTTGCTTGGCGAAACAGTCGGGAATATACTTAGGCGGTTTTCTGTGAATCGAACAGTGGCGAAGCGTCCATGTAAACATTGCTACCATTGGTAACAGTTAAAAATCTTAATATTTTACGACTAAGTACTGTGAAATAATTTGATTTATTTGATTACCAACAGCGATATGTAATCGTAATTCAGTAAATAGCAAATTGGTTGTCGGTTACCATTTTCATTTATGGATACACTTGGTAGTCCGTCGGGGACACTTTATAGTTTTTTTTGACGTTTTATAAGTTTTTTACATAATACCCTCTGGTGATGACTCAGAACGCTTTTATAAATGTATACTACCCTGTTAAAATTGAAAACCTGAGGGTTACATATATAATAACGATAGATAAGCTATTTTTAAAATAAGAAGCAAATAGTGGAGTCTTTGAACAATCTACTCAACCAGTAGCTTATTGTTAGCTATATAAATATGTGTATATGAACGAACTAAATTATGAAAATGTTTAATATAAACGATACCAAAAATGTTTTTGTTATTGCGTATTTAAAAGATACTGTTTTAAACGAGACATCAATTTTTAATGATTTGTTGTATTCCTAACATTTATAGCTAAGGTACTCATATAATAACGTTTTGGTGCGTTATACAAATAAGTGCGCTGAAACATGGCTGTGTGATGTCTTGGTTTGGTATATATACTTTTACAAATGGTAATTGGTATATATACTTTTACAAATGACTAAGACGAATATTTGAACAGGTTGTTGATTTTGAACCATCATAAAACTTCGAAAATTCTGCGAAGTTCCATAAATTAAACCTGCGCTACTGAACAACTGTTCACTAGAACATCGGATTGTGGTGGCGATGAAAAACTGCAGCGGCACATTACCACTTTACCACTTGCACTACATCAACATCTGAATGAACATCCACATTAATAAATACTGATACAGATGCGAATGCCGATATTCAAACTGAGGCGTATGCCAAAATCCTCAACACTCGTAGTTTACAGCTAAATACTGAAAGAAGACTCTTTCTATAGTACCATACTCGTGACAGTTACCAGACAAAGTGCACACAAGACCTTGTTTGTCTTAAATTCGAGAATCGACGGCTTTGATTCAGAAAAAGTCTGATTGAATTACATTTTTAGGAGTGTTTGACTTCGGAAATGGTGGTTCACCATTTCAAGACTTCCTGCACTTGGATGAGTTCCTCAAAACCGCCAAAAACGAAGATCTCTTTGTATTGGTTCGTTCTGGTCCTTATATCAACTCAGAATGGGAATTAGGAGGACTACCCAGTTGGCTGGCCAAGCATTGCAGAACGGTCAGGAATTCAATAGATGCTAAGTTTTTGTATTTCGTGAAAAGGTATTTCGATGTTCTACTACCCTTGCTGGCTAAACATCAATTTCAGAAAGGTAAGATATACGGAATATCTACATGGTGATAACTACTATAAATAGGATTAGATAATCGACATTGCTAAGAATAAAAAAATGTGGTCTAGGTACAAAATGGCAAAAAACGCTTTGATCTGCAGAGAACCGCAATGGCATCGTTTTGTTGTTGTCAGAGACATAACTTTGTATTTAACAACATACTCAACAATATTTGCTTAAATAACAAGGGAGCGGTGCCGTTAGATTACTATACAGCTTCTTACAGGACACGATTGTTTTGACACCTACCTTTTTCAAGTTGGTTCGATTATTCTGAACAAAAAAAGTTCCTATAACTTTTTCTGAATGCTTAAAAACTCTGTTAAAAATTATAATTTTTGAGGTCGCTAAGTAACCAAAATAAAGTTTAAGACCCTTAGAGTATTTTGCGATTGCTTTATTCTGAAGTGATTTTTAGCCTTGTCTGTCAGGCCAAAATAGGCGAACTTTTTGTTTTCGCAGACTGTACATCGGGACGACGGATAGTAGAAGGCTATGAAAACCTAGCGCAATGAAGAAATTACTGGGGTGGAATGTGTGACTAACGACTTAGTGGTTTTAGTGGGCATGAGGCTTCTGAAGAATCTTTCGCCTCGGAAACGGGAAACGTCGATAGAGCAATACTGTCGGACCTTTCAGCCTTAGAGTGACTACAAGAGCTTTCTCCTGTCCAAAAAAGTCTTAACTAATCCCATGTACCTAGCAAATTTTGTGATTTCTTTTTACGGAAACTAATAGTTGACTACAATAATTTGTTTGGTACCTAGCATCTGAAATGTGGATATATTTTAAAAGTCGCTTTGCATCCCTGAAGCAAAGGTTTCGGGTCAATCTTCTTGCGCGAGTCAGAATAAAACTTGAACCGAATTTCGGTTTTCTAGCATTTCCTTACAACTGCAAGTGCCACTGAATTTTTTTTTTCTGAAGGTGGTCCAATCATAGCGATCCAAGTGGAAAACGAATACGCTAATACTGGAAGACACGATCCAGTGTATCTAAATACGTTGAAACAAATGTACGACGATCATGGAATTGTTGAGATCCTTTGTACATGTGACAGACCTAGCGAACAAGGCAGGGGATCTATTCCAGGTAAGTCTGCAGCATTATATACATTATCATGAAACAAGTAAAAAGTGTTAATGGTTTTTGGTTTTGATCATTTCATGGACAAAGATCCTTCTGGCTAGAGTTGATTTCACATATCCATTAGTAAGGTTTTGTATCTGCGATGCAAGTTTCTTGAATCTCAGATAAATACTTCCTAGTACCCATAACCAAAAATGATCAAAAACTCTAGAACTATCAAAAATGCTTGGAAACTCGAAAATATTCCAGAAAATGTTCAACTTCGGTACTTTATTGACATAATGCGCCTGAAAAAATTGCTAGTTTTCCATACTTACGACAATATGTTCCCGCTGACATACTTGTAACACATTATTCTAGGTATACTGCAGACAGCAAACTTCAAAGTGGACGCTAAAGGACACTTAGACATGTTAAAGGAATTGCAACCAGGGAAACCGCTAATGACTATGGAATTTTGGACTGGTTGGTTTGATCACTGGATGGATCCAAGACACCACACGGACTCGGTCACGAGATTCAGAACTGTGCTGGAACAAATTATGGATTATCCCTCTTCTGTTAACATGTACATGTTTGTCGGAGGTACCGATTTTAGGTTCATGAATGGCGCTACCATGTCAGTCAGGTACGCCTTCTCAAAAAGTACGACATTCATTTACTGGTTGTTTCATGTTTACTCACCATATGAAAATGAATGAGGAACTTCATACCATGACGCCCTCTTCTAGACACTCTCCATATAAACTCTTCTATATTTCATTCGGTAGGCGTTCTAAAGAGCTCGATATTGATTTTACTCAACATATTAAAATGGAGAAGTAATTTCAAAATCATGATAGCCTCTGCTTAGACATTCCTCAGATAACTTCTTCTCTATTCCATTTTTAGGAATTTTTCTAACTACCTACCAGATACCACAAGCTACGACTACGATGCACCCATATCAGAAAACGGAGCACTAACTCCGAAGTACTATGCTGTGAAAGAGGCAATCGCTCAAAGAAACTCTATCAAAACCAAGCTTCCAGATATTCCAGAAGCCCGAAAGCTGGTTGCATATCCTTCTGTCAAAGTTACTAACCGAATATTAATCTCAGATGCTCTTCTTTATCTTGGAAAGCCTTTACAGAGTGAGAAATTACTAGCCATGGAGCAACTGCCTATCAACAATAACTCTGGACAAAGCTATGGCTATATAGCCTATAGGAAAGAAAATCTGGATATACCAGCTGGTGCTAAGTTGACGATACCTGGATATGTGAGAGATACAATACTAGTTTTGGTAAATGGCAAATTGGTACAAAAGCCTCCTAAACAATTGAGTGACATAAATGGCTTCGGGTTTTGGATACAGAAGGACTCAAGTATTGTTCTTAGTGACAAAGACCTGAAAAACGCTACTGTGGACCTGATTGTAGAGAACTTTGGAAGGAATACATTGGGTGTCTTTGTTTTGAAAGGGCTTATGGGTGATGTGTTCTTGAATAGTCAGGCGCTGAACAATTGGACCATTATACCTATGGAGTTTGCCTCAAGCTGGATACCGTATCAAGTACACCAACAAGAGTTTGTCGACACGTCTACCAACTCTGCTATTCACAAATTTAAGATACACATCCAAGGAGATCCCCAGGACACGTATCTGGATATGAGAGAATGGAGCAAAGGGATAGTTACAGTGAATGGATTTGTATTGGGAAGGTACTTCTTCCTAGGACCACAGCAGGCATTGTATCTACCAGCTCCTTTACTCAGGAACGGTGATAATGACATAGTGGTCTTCGAGCATTTTAAAGCTCCTGAAATGTTGAAGTTTATTGATAGAGCTGTGTATGAGACACCTGGAGGCCTATATCATTAGGCTTCTGAATAATAAAAATATTATTGTCACTTTTATACAAGCCAGATTACTAAATCATCTTTTCGGCAATATAAGATTTACATAGCCGAAATATGTAGCTTCTTGGCAAAGTCCAGGCACCCATCAAAACTGGCCTTGTGATTGAGTGCTCTTACGTGTTAAGTACAGAGTCTTAGAAATACTGAAATGCATTATACAAATTTCAAAACTTAATAAAACCAATTGTATGAATCAGAACATATTTATTTGTATTATTTTACATAGTTTTGAAGATCAAATCCGATAGGTAACATGAACCGTTCTCTATACATTGAATAAGCCTATTTCTGGCATTTGTCATGACTCTTGCCAGCATAGCAGGCGTTATGTTGGTAAATTGTTCCTGGATCTTAGCCTCCAGATCTGTAAGACCCTTGGATGGTTCACATAAACCCAGGATTTCAAGAAAACCTCATAGAAAAAACCATAAAGGGCCAAGTCGGGAGAGCGGGCCGGCCACTCCAAATGGCCCGTGACTGAGATGAGGCTCTCTGAGAAGTGTTCACTCAAAACAAACATCGATGCTCTTGAAGTGTGCAACGTTGTTGGAACTCATCTAACCGTGGAAAAAATGCCTGTGTCTTGTTTACATACCGGTCCAGCTCCACTGTCAGTGCGACTTCATTTTCCTCAAAGAACCAGCTGAAGAAATTGCCCACCACTCTGAGACTTTAGGTGAGTGCAAGGACCTTCAATGCGATTCTCGAGGATTGGTGTCAGGCCAGTAGTGCATGTTTTGTTTGTTGGCGTATAAATACACAGGAAGATGGGCTTCATTACGAAAAAAAAAATAGCGAACTCAGGAAGGACTTCGAGAAGACGCTCATACGCGTTCATCTGACAATTGAAAGAAAGCTCCTGAATAATTGCCATCTTGTAAGAATTGGAATGAATATCATCATGAAGAATTGTCGTCACGGAAAGTCCAAGTGCAGACGTATCTTTGCGCGCAGAACGCCGTGGTGATGGCAATATTGAAGCTCTCGCTACCTCAATGTTTTTAGGTGATCTAATGGGCCAAGGGACTCGTCTTTTGTTACTTGCGGTTTGTCTGAACGTAGTGTTCCACGTAACAACTGATTTTCAGTCCGGGATAGGGGCCACCGGAGCTAAATTGAAGCGATTTCGAAAGGCGCGCTGGGTCGTGATCACAGAGCATTCTATCGAAAAGTAGGACTCAACAGCAAAGGCACGCTCCTCATTGTTCCAACACATGATGATGACAGAACAGTGTCGGAATAAAACTTTATAGTCCCGCCTTTCGAACGTGACCACTAGCGCCCAGCTACCACATCAACCGACTGAATGGCACGCATTTTAAAAAAGAAGTTATGCTACCGCACAGTAGCACTGTAGTATTATGTTCTCTTCAGAGATAGTCCCAAGGTGTTTCTTCTTGAACATTTTTGCGTACGACAAAAAAAATTGAGCATAGACTTGAGCTATTTCAGCGCAACTTCTACTGCTTGCCATTCTTTGTCTATTAAATCCACCTACTTTTTGATATGGTGAGATTTGGAAGTACACATAGATAGAGCCAAAGGGTTGAAACATACCCCCAACATGCCAGCATACTGATACATGTTTCTAATAATTAGCTATTGGATAGCTTAAAATGCTATTTGCCAATTGATTTGGCATTAGGAGTATGATAACCTTTGGTGATGGCATAAGGAGTTAACTTAGCATTAGAAATCTCTCTTTTTGGTTCAGATCAGTCCGAAAAACATGCTTATTGTCCGAACGGTCAAATTGCTATTTTAAACCTACGATTCACTATCTTTGAGTTATTCGTCGTAAACTGGACGCTCCTCAATTTGTCAGTGATGGACATCTCGGTTAAATTTTGTAGGCCAGGGACCTAAGTACTGCTTGTAAACGCAATTGTAAGTTTATACTTCATAATACTTATTGAGTTTTAAGTGAACATAATTTTGTTTTATACAGTTAGCAGTTTCACAGCACACGTGTGCATGGTAATAAAAACTTTACGATCAGTTAAAACGTAGCTTGTGCCAAAAATTAGAAAATAACCAACATTTTGCGTTTATGAATAAAAATATTCTTCCAACACTTAGCACGTCTCGGACGTCGGTCAACGTGAGCTTTTTGATTAGTTACGTCGAATTCGACTGAAAAAGTCCACTTATTGTATGACTTAACTTGCCGACAAAACACTGTTAGATTAAGACTTATAAATATAAATATATTCTACACACATGGCAGTCTATAGAAGAATAACCTTTTGGAAATTTGATAGAATGGCCAACCAAGGACGAGGCTGTAGTAGTAGCAATCGTGGGAGGCGAAGCCTGGTAGCTAGGATACCTTTTGGCTTTGGCCAATAGTCACTACTCTCTTTTTTAATAGGTGTTCGAACCTACCTGACCTTCAGATGAAGGTTAGCGTGTCCAAACATTGCTTTTTCCAATTCTCTACAGGTCCATCCATCCAGGCAATAGTAAGTTGCTGCTAATCAAGTGATAATTGATATAATCTAGGTAAACGATGTTTGTTAAAGAATAAGCATTCTGTAATTGAATGTTTGTCTTCAAATAATTCAATAAGTAGAATTTTGTATTACAATGATATAAATTAGCGATCTAAGTTGACTGACCTGCTACACACCATACAACGCAGTGGTGATTTTCGGTAATGCTTCTCAACGATAGTTTTTGGCGAACGCGAATTGCAGCATTTTAGACAACATGGTCGTTGAGCTATTCCTCCATAGCAGGTGGCGCTCACAGCGAGTAGGTGCGAAATTGGATGGTACACAAAAAGACATTACGCCGGTCTTTATATAATGACGTTATACAGGGTGACAGGTAAATAGGTGTAAAACATTTTAGGAGGTGATAGTACAGCTCCTTTGCTATCAAAATTACTATATAATACCATACCCTATATTCAAAGGTTAAAAAGTTATGGAAGATTTGATTTTTTTTTAAAAAACAACCCAGATTACAGAGTAATATAGTTGAGATAAAAAAAAAGTTGGTGATTAAACATTCTTTTTTTGGTGGTTTCAGGTTATTATTTAAATAAATAATTCTCATAAATTAAAAAACATATGAAAACACTACTGAAAACGTATTTATTTTCATTTAAATGTTAAATGAAAATTTTTATTTTCAACTTTCACATTAAGAAGTCTTTTTTTTTTCAAAAAAATCATAATAAAGAAAATGTACAAATAACTGCAAAAACTTCCTCGTTTCATTAGGTTTCTAAAATGGTATAATAACATATCAGTAAGTAAACCATTTAACAAAACAATATTACTTTGCTAGACAGGACCGCTAAGCGCATTTCATTGTACTGAGAAGGTAAACCGAGCCTTTCATGGATATGTTGTCGCTCCTCGGAAGCAAGCTCTGCGTGTGTTATGAATTGACACAGCTGACGGATCAAGGAAAGGGAACTAACGCCTAGGTTAGTTAGTAGAATGTCAACCTTTAACGCGGTAGGACGTACTTTTACTTTTTTGATCAGTTTTAATAATGGCGAGTTACCGTAACGCTGATATTCTGTTTTGTTATGGTTTAAGTGATGGAAATTCCGTTGAAGCCAGGCGAGAATACGAAAACCGTTTTCCGAATCGGCGAATACCGAGTCATCAAGTATTTGCTTCTGTGTACCAACGCGTCAAGGAAAGTGGACAGGTTCATGAGAGACGTCATGATGCTGGTAGACCTCGGTTGTTTGACGACGAAGATCGAGAGGCAATACTGGAATGCTACGGCAGAAACCCGACGTCGTCTACACGAGTTATAGCAAAGCAGCTTGGTATAACTCAGTGGAAAGTTTGGTTCGTTTTGCATTCGGCGAGACTTTACCCTTTCCATTACACACCGGTTCAAGTATTAGAAGAAGGAGATCCCGCAAGAAGAATTGATTTTTGTCGATACATGCTTCATCGGGATCAAGAAGAAAACGACTATTTAACTAAAATATTGTGGACCGACGGGTCTAAGTTTGACAGAGAGGGGACAACAAATTATCACAACTTACATTATTGGGGCCAAGAGAGAAAAATCCCCACATGGCAAAGCCAAGAGCCCATCAAAGAAGATTTTCGGCAAGCGTGTGGATGGGAATCATTCATACGTATCTAATTGGACCAGTTTTTCTGCCTGACAACCTGAATGGCGAATCCTATGAAAACTTTTTGAGATCCGAACTCTGGGAGTATCTCGAAGACCTGCCTCTGAATATCAGGATGCAGATGATCTACCAACACGATGGCTGCCCCGCGCATTTCCGTCTGGCTGTTAGACGGTGGCTGTATGAGAAATATCCTTGTCGCTGGTTTGGCCGAGGTGGACCGACACCGTGGCCAGCGAGGAGCCCTGATTTAACACCGTGTGACTATTATTTATGGGGGCACATGAAGTCACTGGTGTACGCTGAGCCCATAGACACTCTTGCACAGTTGAAAGAAAGAATTATTGCTGCTGCTGACACTATCAGAGGACAACTAACTGGCCGCATCACGCGTACCAACATGAGAAAAAGACTACGGGCTTGCATAAGAAACGGCGGGCGTCAGTTCGAACAACAATTGCAATGAATTTTACCTTCATTTCATTATTGTATTTTACTTACCAATTGTAGTAACTTTTAGTCAGTTTTTATTATTCTGTAGTACAATTACAACTGTGTAAATAATCTAATCGTGTAACTTAACCGTAGTTTAAAATAATAACTATCCCATAGCTTACAGCTACAGCTACAGCTTTCATTATTTTCACAAAAACACTTTCTTATCAATCAGAGAGTTCTGAAAATAGGAGACAAGCCATTGGTAAATTTACTCCCTATTGTTGTATTACAATACATTTTGTTTAGTTTCACACAGTTTTTGTGGACTTATCATACCAATTTAGATTCCTTATGAAACAAGGATATTATTTAAATTGTTTGTACGTTTTTTTGTATACTGATTTTTTTGTAAAACACCTTACTTACTGTAAAACGTTATTTGTTTTTCTTAGTTAAACATTTTTGAATGAAAATAAATACGTTGTTTGGTATTGTTTTCGAATCTTTTTTAATTTATAATAGCTAATTATTGAAATAATAACCCAAAACCACAAAAAACAAATGTTTAATCGCCAACTTTTTTCTCTCTCGACTTTTTTACTCTGAAATATGGATTGTTTTTAAAAAAATCTTAAATCTTCAATAACTTTTTAA